AATGCTCTGTTCCACCTTGTGATGTCATGAAGCAGTACTTTTCATAGTTAAGAGCTACATTTTACCTTTTGTTTAGTAGTGATTGGCAATTCCAGGGTTGACATTATCCAAATAAATTTAATGAAATTGTGCAGAATTTAAAAACACAGCGAAGCACTTCCTGTATTGCCACATGACATCACAAGGTGTACCTCACACCAGCATTTTCCGTCTGAGAGAAGAACTCAATATAAATCTGCAGGGTTTGTGTGTTAAACATGTGCGAATGAAACAAAACACAGCTCCAGGTCTGTTTGTGATCAGGAGACAAGAGTATAACATAGATCAGAAAATATGGGCACTATAAACATAACTTAAAACTAAACAAAAGTAAAAATAGCAACAACTTTTTCATATCTTGCCCCTGTAGTGTATGCGCATGGTTTTATATAGACCTTTCTTCCACCCACATGCATGCACAGTACTGGAGGCGTTCTCTTTCTAATCCTGTGCGTGGGGTAATTAAAGATACTGGCTGCTTATCCCCGAATCTAAACCACGTAAATACTATGTAGCTTTTACCTAGCTTTGGTTTGGCTCATTAGATTAAGCAAGGGCTGTTTTGGCAACATCTGTATCGCAACTGTCACTGGCAAAAATGGAGACCTGATGAGGCAAAGTATAACTATGAAATTATTCTTTATGGCAATGAATGACAAGAAGATTACTGGTTCGAAGCCAAAAAGTATGGGTGGGATTTTTGGGGAAAGACCCATGGACCTTGTACACTATCACTTATGTTAGCGGAGTATAGCCACCTCTGTATTTTAATTCCTAAGTAGATGATCTCGGATAATCCCTCATAAAAATGTTATTGTGCCGACAGAAGACAAAAGTATCTTGTGATCTCCTCTGGATCTAATCTATTACCATCTCTTCAAACCAAAGATAAACAGACTGGCTGCTTTGGCCAAAACACAGCGGCTGCCCCACCATCTTCATTTCATGGAAATCACTACATACTGGCTGAATGGGGTTTTCTTATGCAGATGGGGCAATCATTAATACTGTTGACTACACCCAGGGGCTACAGAAACACAAAGGTACTGGTCAGTGTACGCAGCAAAAAGGACCCCATTAGAACCCTTAAAGGTCTACTGTGTAACCTTTCTGTTTTGGGGTCAGCTCCATGGAGATATTACAGTGCTGTCTAGAATGTTATGCAATTCAGTATTAAAGCAATCGAGCATTTATTCAATTATAGGTGTTGATTGATTTTACTTGCAACTGCTTGTCTACATGGAGATAAACATAGACTGTATAAAAAAGCAAACTGAGGGAGTGTAACGTCACCTACAGCATTCAGCTCCAGTCAAATGAAGCTCATGAGGCTAGCAGTTATAGAAGCAAAATAAACAACAAAATAAAAACCCCAGGATCACGTAGAATGGATTAATACGAACATTTCAAAACTAAAATGACGAGGCTCACTGCACCAGTTACAGAGAGAGGGGTGACCATTTTTCAGTGTAAAAAGTCAATTGGAGTCAGAAGCGCCCCCATGCTCACTTCCTATTTGTAGCACGGTGACTAGTGGCTTAGCTCTGTCCATTTATATATACAGTCTATGGCAGACCTGGGCATTGTGCAGCTCCCCGACTACATACAGCCCTCTGGTTGACTCTGACCGGCCCATTTAAGCTCATTTGGAATCACAAAATAAACATATTTTATCATTTGACCTCATGCATGGACTAAAGCTGCATTGCTTTTATTTTAGAGGTGTTTTTATAATGAAATGTTTTGTAAGTCAACCACACTTTTTCATTGCTTAGTCATAACATAAACTCTTGCCAGTCTTAACAGCTCGTCAAAACAAAACTATTTACTGCTTTTTATAAAGAAATACTGTTAATATTATGCAGAACTGAGTTAAGCATTTTGGTCCGGCCCTCCACAATGTTTTCTGTTTCTCATGTGGCCCCACGGAAAAAATTGTTGCCCACCCCTGGTCTACAGCGATAAATAAGCTTAATGCCATAATGTGGAGCATTTAAAGAAAAGCAATAACACTTTTGTGGAGTCAAGCAGGTGGTGGACCCTTCACCAGAAAAATTACATAGTGCAGCTTTAACATATTTGAGAAAAAAATAAAAGTATTGTTTTGAAGGATGTGTGTCCTAAAAATCACAAATCACAAAACTACGCTGTCATATTCTGTTAGTTTGTCATTTTCTTGTAAATATTTGGGCCCAATGTAAAGAAATAAAGCGTAATCGGGACTGGCCAACAGCACAACAATTTTAAAAGATATAAATGAATAGAAAAATGGTGCCAGATTTGTCAACCAAAAATCTCCATTAATAACTTTGGGAATACCACACATGTACAGCTACATGACTTTTGGAAAAAAATCTCTCTCTATTTTTTCTTCTAAGCGCTGTGATTGCAAATGTAGTGTTCAGTTCAAAGTGAATTTGACATTTCACACATTTGCGAGAAGCCTGAAATATGAACTCCTAAACTAACACTAACACAAGACTCCCGTGCATTTCAGAACATGTTTGTAGAGGTCTAATAACCACTGGGAGAGCAAGTTTTTCACATAATCAGGATACATCACAGGATATTTTGTTGTTTGGAGAGGAAATTATGTAATTGCAACCAACGCGATTTGTTAATAGTAGTTTCAATTAAACAGCAATAAATCTTATCTTGCAGCCCTAAGCACAAGTTATTTGAGTCTTGGGGTAGGTAACTGTATAAAAGTTCAACACACATTTACCACACCTTTTCATCCAATAGTTACAACATAAAAAGGCTCATGTTACGCTTTTTTGGTCAAAGTTATAATGTTGTTTCCTCATTCCTCATGACAAATATATCTGGAGTTGTGTTTTGTTTCACTCCACACAAATCATGCATATTTATAGCCTGATTCATCAGACGGTTTCACTTCGCAGAAACTGTCTGACCTTGCAGTGTTAGAATTTGTTCGCTTGACAGTAGGCGGGTACTTTTTTCACCAAACTTTTCCCAAATCCCATAGGAAGAAGGGCAATAACGTCTTTCCCCTTGATTAAATTCACCAAACATTCTCTTTGTTCCGGCTTCAAATCCTCGATCTCAAGAATCGTTGACAACACAGAATATATGGCTCTTTGCTGATTGGCTGGTGCCCGAACTCGCTCTTCCGGGGTTTTTGCGAACCGTCTAGTGCAGGGGTGGGCAAACTTTTTGACTCGTAGGCCACAAAGGGTTCGAAAATTTGACGGAAGGGCCGGACCAGGAGCAGATGGATCCTCATAAGAGAAAAAAATAACATGGGATATGTAGAAAACATATCAGATCATTGAAAATCATTACAAAGCATCATAATAAAATATCTGTCTTTCAAGTCCCACGGTATTTAATATTTATTGAAATTACTTTAAAAACAATGAAAATTATTATTATTCAAGTTTGGCGGGCCGCATTAAAAAGATTAAAGGGTTGCATATGTACTCCGGGACGTAGTTTGCCCACCCCTGGTCTAGTGTATTCCGATTCCTGACCTAGTCGCTGGAGAGAAATGAAATTGAGCTGAGGCACTAGGTGGCGCCAGCCTGGTTAGCATATTTAGACTGAGTTCTCTCCAAGTGAAAACACTCTGTTCAACCTTGTGATGTCATGCGGTAGTACAGGAAGTTCTCCATTGTGTTTTTAAACTCCATCCACTTTCGTTAGAATCAATTGGATCAGTTCAGCCCTGAAATTGCTAATCTCTATTGAACTAAAAGTAAAATGCAGCTCTAAACTACTGCTTCATGACATCACAAAGTGGAACAGAGCATTTTGAGCTTTAGAGATGTAGACGGACTAATAAAAGGTTACTCAAACATGTGTGAATGAACTAAAACAACTCCAGGCATGTTTTTAAGAAGGCAACAAAATTCTAACACGGCTAAAAGCTCAATTTTATATAACATAGGACTTTTAACTGATCCCAATGTATATACTAGTAGATAAGAGGAGTGCATATGGACCTTGCAAGGAAAGCAGACTTGCAGTAGCTTGGACTTAAAATGAAAAGATTAATCCAGCCACAATAAAGCCTAAATCATCCTGGGTCACACATGCACACACGCCCACACAAGCTGGGGAGGAAGCGCTGGATCATTTGAAATCTGTAACCACAAACGCTAACACCCCAATGCCAATATTAATTACTTCCTACAAGTTCAATGCAAGAATGTATTAGTGAAATTCAAACTTTTTTATAAACAGTTTGACTCAGAGTACTTGTGAAAAGGGTGTAGCGAGATTAGTCAAGGTGTTAAAGGTTTATCCGTTGAAAACCACTAATCTTGATTCTATTACTACTATCTATTGGACTAATAATATAATTGTCAGCTGATTAAAGAGATAAAGTACTATACAATATCAATAATGTTTACTTTACTGAAGATACTAGGCTAGTCTTAAGTGTCATCACAAGAAAGAGAAAGGCAGATAGAGACAGACGGATGGAAAAACAGATATGATCCATATATGAAAAAAATAATAATGTGTGTATTTATGTCTTATTTATTTACTTGCAAAGGGACAGCACATATTAATGAGCATTTAAAGTAAATATGTAAACATTATAGACAATGTGGCTAATTTCCATCTTCAGTACAAAACAACTAATTAGTCTATACCTTATATAAATAAACTGATTTGAAGTGTGGGGTAACAATAAGTTTAGATGTGTTATAAGTGGAAATATGAATTTTGAGTTTTTTCAGTTTCAGTCAGTTCTCATGTAGTTTTGTACTTAAAATAAACTGAAAAATAAAAATTCCTTTCCATAGAAGACGAATGATCCAAAATCCATACACTCTAACAGTGTTAATGTGAATATTTCCGGCAGGGACATGTTTGAAGCCCTTGGTACGGCTTTATAGTGAACACATGATTGACAGCCCCTCGGTGACATCACGGCACGACAAAAAGCAAAGAGGGGGAAGAGAAAGCACCAATCAATTGAGGCACTTCTCCGCTGCGCACAGAGCCGAGGCGCTCCCTGACGCAGACGCACGCACGAGCAACCAGAAGCAGTTTCGCTCAACTTTTGCCAGTCTTTTTGAGGATGTTCAAACAAACTTCTTTATACTTAGACCGCTCCTGCCTACGCAAAGCCGCTTCCTCGTAGACTTAACATTTTTTTCTCTTTACGCGTTGACCAAGACTTAACCCGAAGTGCAGCTGGTGAGAATATGTGCGAGAGGCGAACGGAGCAGGGCACGGGCTGTCTTTGGTCCTTCAGGGAGAAACAGTTTGGACTAAACACGAATTAATGTGGACTTTATCGGAGCCCAAAGGCGGAACGACGACCGGACACAGCGCTTCCTCGTCAGGTAAGTGGGATCTCAAAATGTTTTACCCAAAAGTTTTATATAAGCTACGTGCGTGTGACAACTCTCCAGTCCGAGCGTGCGCTTAAAAGATGTGTTACGCGCAATGTGAACTGTTTAAACAGAGCATAGCTTAGGCTTTTGAAGTTATATGGTAGTGTCCCGGGCTACATCTGGCGCTGGTGCGTACGTCAGATCTAACACCTGCGAGCTTCTTCAAGTAACCCTATCCCTTGTGATTATACATGACCGTCAAAGACTGCAAATAGGCGCTTGTAGCAGTCTGGCTTTAGTTTTGGACTGTGCTTTCAGCTCTTTTCCTCAAATTACTTTGGGATTTCTCTGAAACGGTTCCCTATGGAATGGATATCACTCACAACTTTTATGCTGTAAATAGGCTATTGCCTTGTGTACACTTTTAACTGCAGCCAGTGTATGCAGTTTAGGGCTTTAAATGCGTTTTAAACAACTTTTCCGTGAGACTCTTTTCGCTCATCACTGCTAAGTGTGCTTTATCTCAAACGTCGCCCGCGGCATCGTTATTCACAGAGGCTTTTAGCTGCACTTCAAAGTGGAGGTGTCTTTCCTTTTAACCCGCTCGGTCGCACCGGGGGATCACTCTACCTCATGTCTGAGTATTCACGCCACTTTCTCCGCAGGGACTGACTGATCATGGTCGCCGTGGTCCGCTCTCTTATGGTACTGCTGCTGGCTCAGGTGTTGCTGGGAGGTGCATCGGGACTTATCCCTGAGGTTGGCCGGAGGAAGTACAGTGAATCCGGGAAGCAGAGTCCACAGCAGTCGGAGAACTTTCTAAACGAGTTCGAGCTCCGGCTTCTCAATATGTTTGGACTGAAGCGCAAGCCGAACCCCAGCAAACACGCAGTGGTGCCGCAGTACATGCTGGACCTGTACCATATGCACTCAGCCAACGGAGAGCACGGCACCAAGCGGCCCCGGAGCATGGGGAAGCACGCGGAGAAGGCCGCCAGCAGGGCCAACACGATTAGAAGCTTTCACCATGAAGGTGCGTATTAGTGACATACCTTTAGCTGTCAGCTCTCTCAGACAGCTCTAACCTGTGTTTAATAGTGACTCAGGGCGCTTCACAGCGTTAGTGTTATATGGAGCCTTACTCATTTACCGGTGACACGCGCATAACGTGTTGCTAAGTGTTTAATGTCCGTACCAAACAAGCAGACCAGTGTAATTAAACAAATTGATGGGCACTAATCAGCTGAACTTTATACACGCATTTCCTCGCTGCAGCCACTTGACTTCTCGTAGAGGGGCGGAGGTATCACTCGGGTAATTTGTTACTTAATAATTGATGGTGTTTGCGTGGGCACTGAAAACAGTTTTTCCAGACACGCACCACAGGAGCAGGATAAAGGGCGGTGAGCCTGTGCGCAGGTGATAGTCATCGCTCCATTGCTCCAGAAAACACGACATGACACTAGACCAACAGAACTATGACCAAGTCCCATCAGTTCTGAGTCACTTTTAATAGCAGCCACATTAAAACTAACAGTGGAGAGAGGAGGGGGTTACGTGCAGTATTCTTTCCAAATTGACCCTTTTCAACGTGCTTTGCGCCATTACGCACGTTCCAATAACACCAGAATAGCTCACTTATGCCATGTTTATTGACGCAGAAATTGTTGCTTTAGTTCAGTCACTCTACCTCCCAGGACGAATACGTAACTCCCAAGGATATAATGTTTTAGGCATTGTTTTAAAAATGTTAAATCCATATTATTTCTGTACTTGGGTAAATATAGGTAGTTTATGGCCTTGTGTGTTTATTCATCAACGTCTCCACCTTGAAGCCACATGTAGGCAATTTTTCCATTTAGTATCAGCTGACAGCTACTGCATTGGTCCATAGGCGGTGGGGAGAGAGCTTACAGAGTCCGGAGTGTTTTACTGGGAAGTTTCCACCACCAGGGCTGAGTCAGAGGGCTGGTTGGGTGCTCTCCAGAGACCTAGCGCAATGACACCTAGTGGTTGAACTAACACACTGCAAATTTAGGGATTTTGGGCCCAGTTAGGATTGCCCAGGGGGATAAACCTGGATATGCAGTGTGCCAGCTTAAGCCACTCCACACCTAGACACCTGCAGCTATTAACTCTTAAGTTTTGAGTCTAATCTAAACTCTGATTTAAGTTTTTCAAAATATCATAGTGAATATCTTGGGTTATCAGTGTCATTACAAAGTTATAGAGTTGAGTTCTAGTTAAGTCCTGGTTTAATAATGTTTATACAAGTCCCAAGTCCTGGTTTAGTCCAGATTGGAGACCTGGTTTAGTTCCACATTAAAGTCCCAATAGTCAATGGTTTGGTGTTTTTTAGTTTTGATCAAGTAAGTTCTTGTTCAGACCTGGTTCAAACTTAAATATAGCAAGAACTACTTGTATAGTCCAGATACTATTTGGAGTAAAAAATTTGTGAACAGTGGGCTAGTCTTGTCAGGAAAATTGATAGCAAGTAGTGCATAAAATAAACTTGTTTCCGCACTTGTAAGTTTTACACATCAAAGTCAAAATATTTAATCTTTCATTCAATCTGTCTCGAGGAACTGGCTTTTTTGCAAGTCAATTGGTCTAACTGCAATTTAAATATAAGCGTGTTCTTTGCCAAATAGAACATTTCCACTATTACATACACAGGAAGTGGCGAGCATAGACAGCTCTGTGATGAATGGCCCGGGATTCGGCTTTATCTTTAACTTTGGCATGCAGCGCAAAAAGAAATTAGGAATGTTGATACACTCATATCTGAGGTTCACACGTTTTTGACAAGCTTCGACTTGTCCACGCAGTAGTTTTACGGAGAAAACATAAACGGAGAGAAGAGAGGAGGAGAGAAAGAAGCAAAGGAAAGGGGCGATAGAGAAGGAGGAGAAGAAGAGAACAGAAAAGAGGATTTGGAAGCAACAGAAGAGAGTGGATTTAAGGGACGACTTTAAACTAAAAGAAAGGATTTAGGAAAGAGAAGAGGGAACCAGAGGCAGGGGGCTTTCCCACATCAAATGAGCAGAGATAGGGCTAATTGAGGTCTTTGTGCCTCTGGAGGGAGGTTTAGGATGAGATGGTGGAATTTCCTAAATGCTTCTTTTGAAAGGGCTGAGTTCAAAGTTGTTGTTTATTTGACCACACCAAACAGAGTGTAATGCAGGCCTATACCTCCATGCACTTCAAGGTGGGACTGCTTCAAAGAGCACTGCAGCTATAGGCTATAATATGTGTTAATGCAGTAATGTTACAGATAATGATGTAGTGACAAAATCTGCCACTGTGTGCTATATCTCATCAGTAATATTACCTGTGGCATTTAAAGACATTTAATAAAGGTTAATGCATACAATGTTAAAGTTCATATGATTTGAATATTTCTGTTCAGTCATGTGTAAAAGATGTGTGGAGCAGGGTTGTGTGTTGTTGCTTGTTGGGCAAAGTGGCTTTTGGAATCTGCATGTCTGATCTTATCCATGTAGGTGCACTTTTATGTTTCAGCATAAAAATAAATGTATGAGATTCTGACAGTAGTTTTACATGTCTGTGATCATATTGCAGTAATTATATCTGCTAAACAAAGTGTTGATGTGTGTGGGTCTAAAGTCAGTTTGTCTTAGTTCAAAGATGTTTTGAATAAATGGCTAATACTATGATGTAACTGTGTGTGTGTCTCTTGCAGAGGCCATGGAGGCGCTGGCCAGCCTGAAAAGCAAAACAACTCAACAGTTTTACTTCAACCTGACCTCAGTGCCTGAGGAGGAGCTGATCACGTCTGCAGAACTACGCATCTACAGAAATGAGGTCCAGAGCCCCCCCTCCTCCAACAGCAGCAGTGGGCAGAGCGCCCCCTCCTCCAGCACCAGCAATGGGCTTCACCGCATTAACATTTATGAGCTCTTTGGACACGCGGGCGCAGACCAGCCTCTGGCCCGTCTCCTGGACACTCGCCTGGTGCAGGACTCTGTGAGTCGCTGGGAGAGTTTCGACGTGAGTCCAGCCGTCGCCCAGTGGACTTCTGGGAAAAGTCACAACCGTGGCTTCATGGTGGAGGTGCTTCACCCAGAGGAGGGGGAGGAGCACAGACATAGACATGTAAGGGTGAGCCGGTCCCTGCACCAGGACCAGGACTCATGGGCTCAGGCACGCCCCCTCCTGGTCACATATGGACATGACGGGCGCGGGGACGCTGTGCTGCACAGGCGGGACAAACGCCAGGCCACACTCCGCAAACAGAGGAGGAAACAGAACAAAGCCAGCTGCAGGAGACATGACCTGTACGTGGACTTTAGTGATGTGGGCTGGAACGAGTGGATAGTAGCTCCTCCGGGGTACCACGCCTTCTACTGCCAGGGGGAGTGCCCCTTTCCTTTAGCGGACCATCTGAACTCTACCAATCACGCCATAGTTCAGACTCTGGTGAACTCAGTCAACTCAAACATTCCCAGAGCCTGTTGTGTGCCCACGGACCTCAGCCCCATCTCTCTGCTCTACCTGGACGAGTACGAGAAGGTCATTCTGAAAAACTACCAGGACATGGTGGTGGAGGGCTGTGGCTGCCGGTGAGACTACCATAGACACTAGAGTGGACCTCAGAAAAGACTTTAGGTTAAAATGGACACCCAGTTTCCCAATGAAGACATTTATTTATGAGAAAAACTATACAGAGCTATCAAAGAAGAAATATATATCAATATATTTATGTCTAAATGTAAAGTTGGGAAATTTTTATCAAAGGAATATTCCTTTACTGGTTTTAAAAATGTATTTCAGATGTACATTTTTAAATAGGGTGCAATACCACATGAAGTATATTGCTGAGATTTTTATTTTGTATTTATTTCTATAATAACCACTTTGTAAATAAATGTGTATTTATCATAAGACGCCTTCACTCCAATTAAAAATACACTTTTGTAGTAAAGACCAACGCATCTGTGTCACTGGAACCAGGGCTGAACCATTTCGCAAAAATATCTAAGATTTTTCAGACAAGCACTGAAACTACTATTAGAAATGTGCAATATATGTTTTAACAGTAGGCCAAGTTCAAAGTTCATATTCCAGAAGCATGGACAAAAAGACTGAAATAGGCCTATGAACCAAAACTAATGCAAGAATCATGTATTTCAGAACATGTTTGTACACATCTAAACCACGGGGTCAAACCTTTTTATGCAGAAACATATATTTTGCTGTTTGTGGAAGAAATAATGATCCTTCAAAAATGGCAGCCTTTATGATTTGCTACTTGTACCCATTCAAATTGTGATTTCAATTCAATTCAGTTTAGTTAATCTTACATGGGTCTGTAACAATAACACATTTTGAAGCACAATATATCACTACAGAGATATACAAAATATTGAAACTACTTTATGCCTTTGACACAATAAAAATAATGCACGATAATCCCAGTAAACCATTTTTAAATAGACAGTATCATTAAAAGGCTTGATGTGCAACAAAAGCATAGCAGAGTGAACCAATAATAAGAAATAGAAGTTATTTATTCAAACCTTTACAGCTCAAATCTCCTCACTTTTACAAAGAAATAGTACCCACTCCAAAATATGTGGTTCCATCTTTCATATATTGAACGATAAGATGATATAGTAATTATCGTGACAGGCCTGAACTGGAAACTAACAAAAAGTCAAAGTTTCAAATTAGCTGCAAAAATAACCAAACAAAACAGGACACGAGGCTCATTTTTCTAACTGTGATTACAAACTAAGAGTTACAAAATGAAACCAAATACGAGTGACAACACGAGTGAGGAGAGAGCCGTGACTGGCGGGGTCAAGGTGCCACTGCTGTAATGAACCGTGGTGGGGGATGGGGGGGGCTATAGTGGGGGGGTAGGGTCACTGGATGGCAGAAAGTTACAAGCAGCAAATGTGATCAGCTCCTGTGGGAGGTTTAGAAAAACAACCCAGACTGTTTTCATCCATTACATGTCAGTGCAAAGATCCCTGGGAACTCTTGTGTTTTTCTGTCTATTACAAACACTCTATGCAAAGGTGTAAGTCTGTCAGGAGAATTACTATATCTATTATTTACATAGATATTTTTTTAAAGGTCCCATATTACACTATTTTCTGATCTGTTGTAATGTTGTTTCCTCATCACAAACAGACCTGGAGTTGTGTTTTGTTTCATTCACACAAGTTTAACATAAAAACCCTGCGTATTTAAGTTCTTCTCTCAAGTTTGTGGTAATATACGAAGTGCTCCAGTGTGTTTTGAAACTGCATACACCTCAACTAGAATCATTTGGATAATTTCAGCCCTGGAATTGCCAATCTCTTCTGAATTAAAGGTAACAGATTTTAAATTGAAAATTGCACAAGATGGAACCGTGCATTTTGAGCTTTGAATGAATGAATAAAACAAAACATGACTCAAGGTATGTTTTTGAGCAGGTAACAACATTATAAAATGTCCAACAGCTCACAAGAGTCAATAATAATAATCCTGCTTTAAAGTTAGAAGTTCAATATTCTAATTTATCGTCTATATTTTCTTCAGCTATCGTGACAGGCCTGTGCAAAGGAAAACTTGTGGGCTGTGTTATTGTTTTGCTTCTGGAGGAAAGCATGACATCCCGCCGACTATATTTGTAATGAGATTTGAGCCCATTCAAGAGAGACCAGCCAATAGGCCTGCAGCAAAAAGAAAAAAAAAAGGTTCACTGGCATTTTAATTAAAGAAGACAAACAAACAGCTGCACCTGTCTACACAAGGCACATGCTCCAACACATTCTCCTCACCAGCTCTCCCTTGTAATCTCTGAGTCATCCACCACTGATTTATTTGTGAATTTGAGAGGTTAAAAAAATAAGCTTTAACACGGGACATTAGCAAACAAAACAATCATTAAGAGTGACCTGCAGCATGGATACCCCACCTCTACAAGTTCAGCATTTACTGCACCAAAACCCAGGTCTAAATAAGGGCTAAAATGGGGCTGAACATGGCTGAGCTCGTAGGGCAGGATTGCAATCAAATATAAGCTGACACCACAAACTAGTGCTTATTTGTTTTAAAGTAAATTATAGTTAAAATGGCATTGAAATAGCTTTAATTTAAAGGTCTTATATTACTTAAAATTTACTCTTGTGAGCTTTACGTCATGTTAGAATGTTGTTACTTCTTCAAAAACATTCCTGTAATTGTGTTGTCATTCACATATGTTTGAGTAATCCCACATCTCCAAAGCTCAAAATACTCTTTTCCACCTTGTGATGTTATGAAGTATGTCAGTAGTATTCACGTTAACAGCTACTCTTTATCTTTAGTTCAGTAGAGATTGGCAGTTCCAGGGCTGAAATCATCCAAATGATTCTAGTGAAGGGGTATGGAGTTTAAAAACACAGTGCAGCATACAGTGAAAGAGTGTTTTCTATTCGAGAGAAGAACTCGTCATAAATAAGCAGGATTTGTGTGTTAAACATGTGTTAAGGAAACAAAACACAACAGAAACATTATAACATAAATCAGAAAATAGTGTAATACGGGCCCTTTAAAAGTTAAGTTTATTTACTAAAATTAATGAGATCTCTAATCTGGTGAAGTTAATGCTGGTTTATGCAATCCAGTTTAAGCAGGAAGTAACCATGCCACACTCAATGTCCAAACCAGGACTATTCGAGGACCAAATTGAAGTTCTTGACCTGGATTAACTCAAGAATTCAGTTTTTTTATATATTAAAGAATTATTCACTGCACACTGTTTAAGGTGGAGGATCTACCACCTACTGATCTTTGACTGCAATGTTCTGCTGTATTGCATTAAACTTATCTATCCCAGTAAGCAGGTAACAACCGTGGGCCAATTTAAATGTCAGGTTTGTGGAGCGGTAACCACGCTTACAGTAAGAATGCATGTTTTTAAGAGTAGTTTTGAGCAATAAAAACACCTGTAACTGAATAAACACAAATTATGTACAAAGCAATACATGGCAGACCCCGAACCAGAAAAGTTACATAGTGCACATTTAACTAAAACCGCACTTTCTTTGTGGTGGCATTTCCGGTTAAGTGAGAATCCCATTTACAACCAAAATATAAAATAAAGTAGGTTTATTTGTGTAAAATGTTTAAAGTTCATGTGCACCAACAAGTCAACACCAAACCAATTCTCTGGGAGGCTTTAAAACAGCTTTGTGGTCCAGATAGAACTTATTTACTGTGGAGAAACTGGAGATGGGCAGCCCCATGCAAAACAATACAACCACAATGACGATGGCAGCGCCCACGGCAACCTCCGGAATAAGGTGAATTGTGGTGACTTTTACAGAAGAATACGAGCGGCTTTAAATATTAGAGTGAGCTGACTGGGCCTCTACTGACAAATTGGTGGTGAACCCTAGGGCACACCAGAAAAGTTACACAGTGTAACTTTAAAGGTATTACAATGTTTTTTGATCTATGTTTTAATGCAGTTTCCTCGACACAAACATACCTGGAGTTGTGTTTTGTTTCATTCACACATGTTTAAAACACAGACCCTGCATTTTTAGGTGGAGTTCTTCTCTCAAACTGAAAACACTCCAGCTTGTTCCACCTTGTGATGTCATGTGGTAATACAGGAAGTGCTCCATTGTGTTTTTAAACTCCATACACCTTCACTAGAATGATTTTAGATGATTTAAGAACAGGAATTGCGAAACTCCACAGAACTAAAGGTAAAAGCGTACTTTTTAACTTGAAAACTACCGCAACATGACATCACAAGGTGGAAGAGAGCATTCTGAGCTTTGGACATGTAGACAAACTTGTGTGAATGAAATAAAACACAACTCTAGGTATGTTTTTGACGAGGAAACAATATTATAACACAACTTAAAGTTCACAAGAGTAAATTTAGTATAATATAGGGCCTTTAACTGAAACAAAAGTTATAAAAGCAAAATACAAAGTAAACTAAATACAAGTGGTTTAAAATATTGCAGTGAGGAAAGTGAGCTGAACTGCCTGAGCCTGGCTGTGTTTGCATTAGACAGGGTTTGGAGGGATCACAGGGGCAGCTCAAAAATAGAATGTTTTTTATATGAGTGCACATTGGGACCCAGGAATGTTGGTTTTCAATCTCAGACACATGCATACGCTTGCATGGAAAACCAATGCGGTGGTTGTTTTTTAAATCATCTATTCAAAGGTTTCCCGGTGGGCTTTTTTCTCTTCAAAAACAAATGAACAAAGATCGACTTGTTTCTCGTATAGAAAATGTAAATCAAAACATAAAGAGGCCATCGCATTTTATTCACAACAACTACAACCGAAAAAAGATGTGTTTTGCCACCTGTTTCTGATCAAGTCCTTTTAATGCAATAACAGTTTTAGAAATACAATCACAAGTAAATGAACCATAGATGCCATTAACTGTCATATTTTGAGGATCTATCATATTATATACAGCAAGTAATGGGAAAAATACTTTGACATTGTATTTAGTTACAGAATACTCATTAACCTGCATTAAAATTAATTTGTAACATATACTAGTACATGGTCCAAACAGAGTACTACTGTATTCTGAATACCAGGAATCACATTGAGTCATATTATAGTGTAAAAACATGATATATATAATTACAAACAACTATTTTTGTGGCTATGTGTTAATTTAAGTCTGATTAAAGAAGGAAAAAAATCACACACACTACGGGAGCTGTGTTTTTTCACTAATACTGTGCAGTTCAAAGTACTGCCATGTATTCCTTTGATTTTAGAAAAGTAACTGGACTCAATACCACCAGATAAAAGGGTAACTATACCGGAATACAAGTACTCAAAATTAATATTCAGAGTATGAATTTTCATTACTTCTCAACACTGTATATAGGCTTTTTGGGTAT